TTTGAGAAACATGTGGCTGGGAAAAATACCGTTGATTTCTTTACTGAAGAGGTAGTTCAGTAATAATGCTCATACTTCTTAATGTATGCCATAAAATAGTAGAGAAAATGTGTGTACAGTTGACCCTTGAACAATACAAGTTTGAGCTGTGTGGGTCCATTCACACGTGAATTTTTTTCAGTAGTAAATACTACAGGACTATATAATAAATGGTTGGTCGAATCTGTGATTGTGGAACTGAAGATATGGAGGCCAATATATTCTTATTCTCAAGTGCACAGAGGTTCAGTTTCTCTAACCCCTCCATTATTCAAGGGTCAACTAGTATGATACTTTAAATGTGTCAAGCATTATTTCACAAAAAATATATATTGTGGTAAAATATAAAAGACTACAGTGACATTTACAATGATAAACACGTCATAGTGGGCATTAAATTCAGGATCTTGATGTTTTAGTTTGATTTTCTTGAGTGCCAGTGAAAATTTTAAACACAGAAAATAATATATACTATACTTTAATATAAAAGTCCCCCACAGTTCAAGAGCTTCTCATAATACTATATACCTATTAATTAAAAATATTATGATGTTTTACAAAACCACATGTACTACAGTGGCTACATTCATAGGAAATATTTTCTCTTATAGAATTTTGTTACCAAAACATTTTTAAAAATTCTTTTTTCTAAATTGCCTCCCTCAATAAGAATTCTCTGAAATATGATAAAGTAGGTTTTACTGAAAACTTTCAGAAAGTCAAATGTTTATAAAGTTTTATTCTACTGATTTACCCGAGGCTCGATAAAATATCACCTTTTGGTAAGGTCTTTCTATATTTGTTTGTAACCAATAGAGTTTTTTTGACTCTGATCTCTCCAGTTAAAAGTACTTTGATTTATGGATGAACCTTCTAAACATTCAGGATTTTGACAGAAGTCTCTACTCTTGTGTCAGTTCACCAGTATACTGTACAGACCTCTCAATGGAAGTCAGCTACATTCCTACCCCACAGAGAACAGAGAACATGAAGGACTACCATGGAGTCCATTATGTCTCAGACCTGGAAGTGAATGACATCATTATGTTCACATCCACAGATCTCATTGGCCAGATCTCATTCACATTGTCCCACATGGATGTGAGAGAGGCTGACAAATATAGACGAGCAATGTGTCCAGCAGCAAAGGGAAATGCATTTTTGCATATAAAAACACTGCCAGGATTCCTTCCATGTGGTTCTCTGATATAAAAGTGAAGGCTGACTTCTGGTATAAGGACTTCCCAAATTCATTACAGGCATAGAGTTTCTTTCCCAGACACAGTTTCTATCATACTAAAGCCTCTGAATTATGGGAGGAATGTATTATACACCCATCTTTACATCGTATCTCTTCTGCATGTATTCTCTGATGTGTGACAAGAGTTGGTTTGTAGTTGAAGGTCTTTGCACACTCGTTACCATTATAAGGTTTCTCCCCTGTGTGAGTTTTCTCATGTTTAAGGTGGGTTGAACTGCCATAGAATGATTTTCCACACTTTTCACAATCAAAGGGCTTCTCTCCTATGTGTGTTCTCTGATGTACATCGAGGGATGCCTTCTAGCAAAATGTTCTCCCACATTCTTGACATTCATAGGGTTTCTCCCCTGTATGGATCCTCTGATGTTGAATGAGTTGTGACTTTTGGCAGAAAGCTTTGTCACACTTGTTACATTTGTAGGGTTTCTCCCCAGAATGAATCCTCTGATGTTTGCTAAGGGTTGACTTCTCAGAAAAGATTTTTCTACATACAACACATTCACAAAGTTTCTGTCCTGTATGAGTTCTCTGATGTTTAAGAAGAACTGACTTCCCATAGACGGTCTTCCTACATTCAGTGCATTCATATATTTTCTCCCTGTGTGAAGTCTTTGATATTTATTGAGGGTTGACTTCATATAATAAATTTTCCCACATTAACTATATTTGTAGGCTTCTCCCCTGAGTATATTCTCTCATGTACCGTGAGTTTTGACCTTATACTGAAAGATTTCTCACACTCATCACATTTATAACATTTTTCTCCCATGTGAGGCCTCTGATGCACAGTCAAATTTGACTTTGGGGAGAAAGATTTTCCACACCCATGTGTGTTCTTTGATGTTGATGGACGGCGGAGTTCTGATAGAAGGTTTTCCCACACTTAGTACATTCATAGGGTCTCTCTCCTGTATGAATTCTTTGATGTACAGTGAGGGCTGGCTTATGGTAAAAAGAGTTCCCATATTCATTACATTGAGAGGGTTTTTCTCCTGTGTGTGTCCTCTGGTGTACTGTGAGGTTTGGCTTCTGGGAGAAGCCTTTTTCCACATGTTACACTAATGGTGTAACATGGTATTTCTCACCCATATCTAAAGTGTATGACATTTCTTCCAGAAGACTGACTTATCACAGGTTTCCCTAGATGCATTAAGCTTATAGTGAGTCTTCCTTGAGTAAATTATCTGAGGTAACATGAGGTTTGACTCATCCCTGACAGTTTTCTCACATTCATCATAATCACAGAGTTTCTCTCCAGTGTGAGTTCTCTCTTGAGTAATGAAAAGAGCATTATATTGGAAGGTTTTAATGCATGAATTAGATTCAAATAGTTGCTCCACACTGTGCCTCTCTTGTGTCTCTCTTTTGTTGAATAAAATCCTCATTAAGATAGAAAGTGCTCCCATTTTTATTACATTCATTATGTTTCTCCCCAGTATGAGTTTTCTCATGATTAATTTCAGGAAGTAATTTCTCACATCCATTGGTATCACCAGATTTCTTTCTTGAATAGTTTCTATTATTAGTGATTAACTCTGACATATTTTCTAAACTGATTCCATCTGGGTTATATTTATTCCACATTTTTCCGGAAGGAATAGAGTCTATGCAAAAATTAAATGACTTTCTTAATATATTCTCTTTCTCTGTAATTACTTTTTTGTTAATAATAAATGCAGCTTGCCATATATGTCTATCTTGGTTTTCTTTGATCTTTATCACGCCATCAACTTTCAACTCTTCTAAAGACAAGAAAAATTAAACACATGTTATGAATGAAAATAATTCTTAAATTTGGGTAATAAACAAATACACTTTATTTATCTCTTTGGTTTCAGAACCATTCTTTTGAGATAAAACTCCCAAATAAATTTTCCCATTTCCTCCACTTTTCTTAGGAGTTGGGGGGAAGGGGTGACAATGAACCAACTAATCAAAGCTACTTTGGGGTAGAAAAGGGGAGGAAAGTTGGCAATGAATGTACATATATTTATGTGGCGATGCTGAAGCTGAAACTCCAATACGTTGGCCACCTCATGCAAAGAGTTGACTCACTGGAAAAGACCCCGATGCTGGAAGGGATTGGGGGCAGGAGGAGAAGGGGACGACAGAGGATGAGATGACTGGATGGCATCACCGACTCGATGGGCATGGGTTTGGGTAGACTCCGGGAGTTGGTGATGGACAGGGAGGCCTGGTGTGCTGCAATTCATGGGGTGGCAAAGAGATGGACACGAGTGAGTGACTGAACTGAACTGAACTAACATACATACCTTTCAAAATGGATAGAAGAGGCGAAAGAAACATCAGGAATAGAGAATAAAAGGTAGAGTAAGAATGGATGAATTACAAAGAATGGAATTCACCAGAAAACATGCTCGATCAGGGAATTATGCAGTGAATGTGACATGGAGCACAAGCAGACAAGGATGTTGTTCCAAGAAATTATCAGAGGAATGAAAGTATTCCAAGGAATTATCAGAGGAGGTATATTAGAGTCTGCATGCTAATTTTGTTAACCTAACTGTCATCATATACCTAGAACTCCATCACTATATATGCTCTGTCCTCCTAAACCTGGTCCATGGCATTATCACTTTTCCTCACTGATCTCCTTGCTTCTACTCTTGCCACTCTTCTAAACCATTTTTTTGCAGTCACCTTCCTGTGTCTGTTTCCTGCTAATATGTAAATTCCCTAATAGCAAAAGACTTAGTTCATCCACTGTGGTATCTCTTTCACTTAGAACATGATTGGAATGGATCAAATACTCAATTTAACATTGGTTAATTAATTAACTCCTGAAAACAAAAGAAGTCCTTGATAGGAGGGAATGTAGGCAACCGAGAATGCTAGAGCAAAGAGAACTAATGAAGATAAAATACTTATTACGAGACAGAAATTCAAGGTACAGGTAATAGGGATTAAACTCCTAAAAAAAGCCAAGCCCAAAAGAAAACATTTATGTGTGAGACTATATCTTGTTGTGAATTTAGGTGTCTGAGGCATGTAGGCTAAATATCCTTAGTAATTTTCAAATAGATTGAGCTTCTAAAGGGGTCTGTTCAAAATGCTCCAAAGATTTTTTGTTGTTGAAGCTCCAAAGATGCCTGTACCTAAAACAACCACCAAGGATCTAGTTTCCCCTGGATTACTCACCTGGGTAACACTGACTTGTAAATTCTTCCTCTGATATCCATGGTGCTTCTTGCTCTAACTTGATGATCTCCTCTGGTTTGGTAATGCAATACCCTGACAGTAGAAAGTGATATAGGACATAGAGAAAGCTGTCTGGCTTCAGGAATTTAGAAGAAAAACCAAGGTCCAGCTTCAGAAGTTGCACAATGAAAGAACCCACTGAAATCTTTCAATGGGGAGGTGAAAACACAAACAATATTCCTGGTCCATGCAGTCACTAAGTCATGTCTGACTCTTCGAGACACTTTTGATAGCAGCCCAGTAGGCTCCCTTGTCCATGGGATTTTCTAGGCAAGAACACTGGAGTTGGTTGCCATTTTCTTCTCCAGGAGATCTTCTGACTCAGGGATCAAAATCACATCTCCTGCATTGGCAGGCAAATTCTTTACCATTGGGCCACCTATATTCCTGGTATCCAAAATCAAATATCATTAAACTCTACAAAGGATCCATATGTTCGGTAACAAAGAGAGGATAGGCCTGATGCTGTTACTCTGCTTACCCAGTGAAATGTGGATGCTGTAGTTTTCTAGCATTATGTCCCTGCACAAGATCCTCTGAGCAGGTGGAGTTCACAGTCACATCCTCAAATGAAATTGATCCCTATAACAGGAAATATATGATTAATCTGAAATAATCACAATTGTAAGATAGAGAAAAGACATTTAGGAACTAATTCTTCACCAAGTTCACTGTTAATTAGAAAAAACTTACATAAGATGTTTACTATACTACCTGTTTTGTGTTACTTGTGGTGAGAGAAAGAAAAACATTGTAAAACTTCCCAATTAACTTATTAATTCATGTATTAGTGTTGTCAGGGAGGAAGAAATTTTCCTCTACCATTCTACCATTCTGACTGGTCTAAGAATTAAACTGACATGAGAGTTTAACTCTTTCGTTCCAATTTGGAAATCACAAAGATATAGAAAAATTATAAAAGAATATTATGAAACAGTTATATGCCAACGAATTGGAAAATCTAGAAGAAATGGGCAAATTTCTAGAAACGTATAGCCTGCCAAGACTGAGTCAAGAAGAAACAGACAATTTGAACAGACCAATCACTAGAAGTGAAATTGAATGTGTAATTTAAAAACACCCTGGACAAAAAGTTCAGGACCAGGAGGCTTCACAGGGTAATTCTACCATACACCTATCTCAAACTATTTTAAAAAACTGAAGAGATTACCTTATGTAAAACTGACAGCTAGTGGAGCTCAATAACACAGGGAGCTCACCCTGGTGCTCTGTGAAACCTAAAGGGGTGGGTGGGAGGAGAATAGGAGGAAGGTTCAAGAGGGAGAGAACATATGTATGCTTGCATGATATCATTCATGTTGATGATATGCTGCTGTATGACAGAAACCAATACAATATTGTTAAACAATTAAAAATAAATTCTAAAAAATTTAAAAAAAAAAGAAACCCGAGGACCAATAAATAAATAAATAAATAAACTGAAGAGGACAGACACTTCCAAATTCATTCCATGAGGCTACCCTTACCTTGATAGCAAAACCAGACAAAGACACTACAAAAAAATAAAATTATAGGCCCGTATCTTTGATGAATGCAAATGTAAAAATCCTCTACAAAATATTAGCAAACCAAATCCAACAATATATACAAAGGATCACACAACATGACCAAGTTGGATTTATTCTAGGGTCACAAGAATAGTTCAGCCTTTGCAAATCAATCAATGTGATACACCACATTAACAAAAGATAATATTTTCTATCTCAAGCTTCTTTTCTGTATCTGTTAGTCTGCTTCAGTTTTGCATATGCATTATCTGTATTATTTTTTAGATTCCACATATAAATGATATCATATAGCTTTGTCTTTCTCTGTCTGACTTATTTCACTAAGCAAATATTCTCTAGGTCCATCCACACTGTGGCAAATGGCAAAGTTTCATTCTTTTCTATGACTGTGCAACACACATCTTAATTCAATCTTCTGTAGGGCTCATGGGTTGCTTCAATGTCTTGGCTATTAAAAATAATGCTGCTATAAATGCTGGGTGCACATAACATTTTGAATTAGTGTTTTCATTTTTTTCTGGGTATACAGCCAGGTGTGGAATTGCTGGATAGTATGGTAGTTCTATTTTTAGGTTTTGAAGAAATTCCATACGTTTTACATGATGGGTGCACCAATTTACAATCCTACTAAGGGCAGAGGGAAAAGGAGAGAGACAAATTAGGGTATGGGATTATCATATACAAGGTACTATGCATAAAACAGATAAGTAACAAGGATATACTGTATAGCACAAAGACTTATAGCCAGTATCTTGTAATAACTGATACTGAATCCCTGTGCTGTACACCTGAAACTAACACAATATTGTGAATCAATTATACTTAAATAAAAATAAAATAAATTAACATAGAACAGATAACAAAAGAAAATCAAACAGAAGTTTAATGAAATGTATACAGAGGCAAGACCCGGAAAACAAAGTAACTTGCCAAAATGGCCCAAAACCCTCACTTTAAACACCATCTTCAGCAAAAGACAAAAGAGGATGTTGGTGGCAGTGATTTGGGATTTCAAAGGGGAGGAAGGCAATTTACCCGGAGATGGAAAAGCAAACGTTTGGTGAACATATGTTTGCTGGGCTCTGCAGAGACTGTGGGACACAGAGTAGGCTGGGATCTCTGGGCTGCAGTTTCCCCACCACACCTAGCCTTCGTTCTTTGCAGATTCTCTGGTGACAGCTCTACTCCAGGAACTGGCCCTATATCTAAATTCTTTATGTAAAAAGACAGACTTCCCGAGTCTTCTGTTTCTTAACAATAATCAGCTTAAGTTAACCCTCATACCAAAGGACACATTTTGCAGCTGCAAATTTTGCTTCCTTATACTATATACATATATATAAGTACACACAAACATAAAATACATTGTAGGCATGAAAGTATCCTGGTTTCTGTGGTTATATAAAATACATAAAATGCTGTTTCCACTCTCAGGAAGCTTAGAATCTGGTATGCAAACTGGATTAACAAATAGCATAAAATCAAGAGAGAACTGAATTTGGGTCTTTAATGATATAGACTGCCCTGGTCTGTTCAGGGTATAGATAATGTGTAATCTTGGGAACATTCCTTTACAAAAGACTTCTCCTAAATATCTGAAGACCCACTCTGCCAGGAAAAACTTTTAAGCATCTACAAATTTGTGTTAATATGTATGTATGAAAATTTATGTCTACACAGATTGTCCAACTTTGCATGCCTCTGATATGCACAAATTTCAGTCATCACTATTTAGTTGAGTAACACCAGCCAAACAACACAGGTCAGATTTTTAGTTATTATGATAACTGTAATTAAATAAAGTACAAACTTCACTGCTTGTTTTTCAGTTCACAAATCACTACAAAATAACAGACATACATCATGAACAATGATCAGTCATGTCATCTTCAAGGACTGTCTGCCAGTGACTGGTTGCTATACATTCATCATACAGACAGCAAAGCACGTAGTTGTACTGCCTCCTTATCTCTCAGCAATAAGACATTTGCAAGAACAGTTAACTGCAACAAGGCCAACAAAGATGAAAGAGCAGTAAAGAAATGAAAAGTGAGTATATTAGATGTGAAATTCAAATTGAATATAAATGGAGTTTGAGAAGAAATATCTGACTGTGGGAATGTTGCTACTTGCTGCCACTGGAGACATTTGAGATTTGTAGCCAGAGGAACTTAGTGAAGGAGAACTTGGTGCTAAATATGAGCTCTACTATTTTTAAACTTCCATATCCACAAGAGTCAGACATGACTGAGCAACTAAGCATACACACACTTATATTTTTGGGTTTCCCAGGTGGCACTAGCAGTAAAGAATCTGTTTGCCAATACAGCAGATTCAAGAGGTTTTGGTTTGACCCCTGGGTTGGAAAGATCCCCTTGAGGAAGAAAATGGCAACCCACTCTAGTATTCCTGCCTGAAAAATTCCATGGACAAGAGGAGTCTGTTGGGCTACAGTCCATGGGGCCACAAAGAGTATGGAATTTAGAAAGATGGTAATGATAATCCTATATGCAAAACAGAAAAAGAGACACAGATGTTCAGAACAGACTTTTGGACTCTGTGGGAGAAGGCGAGGGTGGCATGTTTTGTAAGAACAGCATGTGTATTATCTATAGTGAAACAGATCACCAGCCCAGGTGGGATGCATGGGACAAGTGCTCGGGCCTGGTGCACTGGGAAGACCCAGAGGAATCGGGTGGAGAGGGATTATCTTGGTTTTTCTTTCCATTCCATCTCCTCTCTCTCTCCCGACAGCCACCAAAAGCCAAAAGGGATGGTGAGTAGAATCTCTTCTAGAAGCTTAGCAGGCGTGCAGCCCTGACAACACCCTGACTTTAGACTTCTAGCATCCAGAGCTGCAAGACAATACATTTCTGTTCTTCTAGGCTCATTTGTAGTAGCTTGTTACAGCAGCCACAGGAAGTTAATATACTAACTTTTTGCAAAAAACTCTACAGAAAATCAACAGTTTGGGTTGAGAATATATCTGGCCAGTGATAGGTCTCACTTACAAAATTCACCTTCTGAATTTCAAATGTGGAGTGGTTGTCTCAATCTCTGATATAGTTAACAATCCGTATGATATGAAATCAGTCAATAATAGTTAAGGTAAGAATTATAGTGGACCAAGGATGAATGCTTGGGGATAAACTTTGCTAAAAGACAACAGGAAGAATACCAAGAAGCAGACGAGAGTATCAGCTTAAATCCGCGGAGTCACGCTTTGGCTCTCGTCCCTCTGTGCCTACTAAAGAACAATTAGAAAAGAAAAAAAGAGGCAGCAATCGTTTCAGGCTTGCTAGGTGAGGTTGTCAGCCACCTCACTTGCATGAAGCAGAGAAATTTTTTTCAGACTTCAAGCCAGGAAGTCTTTATATTCCACGAAGAATTATTTTTGTTTATTCTTAAAGTCAAAGAAAAGGGTTTTCCTTTTGTATAAAGTATCAGAGATAAAGCCACATATAATTATTATTATAAAAATGATATTTATATGTATAATATACATACAAACAAAGAAATTATGATTATCTCCATATAACTAAAGGTTGACTTTTCCTTGTTTTAGATCTGTTAGCTCTCTCTATATATTCCTTAAAATTTTTTTATCATTTTAATCTTTAATTATTTTTGCAGTGGAAGACAATGTGAGAAATGAATAAACAAACAACTCACCTAGAACAAACTTATTCTTTTTCTGTCCCTTTCGGGAAAATACAGAAAAGGCTGAATGCACAGCTATGAGAGAAGAAAATAGGAGTGGGTCATGTGAGATATGGCTTTTGTGAATCTTTGAGACTTAGCTTCCTAAAACTTTCTGCCTACCAGCTGGTTGAAAGCCCCTCTGGGAAAAAGTTTCTCTGGGCCCTGAGGAGTCAGCAAGAACCATGCGCAGGAAGAATTAACATGTGCAACTCTGACAGATAATTTATAGAGCTTGGCTGAGCAATTTAACCCTGGGTTTACTCCCTAATGATTTATTAATTTGACTTTTCTTTTCGAACCAATTTAGAACTAATTGAATAAATAATATTATACAGAAGACAAACCATTATT